GTTTTGTGGACAGTTTCAACTATCAGAAGGTACTGAAGTTTTTAAGCTACCTTGAACTGTCTCTGTCTAGCCCCATGTAATGATGGCTCATAGGCATTTGCGGTAGGCCAAGTCCTATGCATGTACAACACACATGCCAACGGTACTTGATTACTACATGCTGCATAACCTGTATGTTCTTTTCCAACCTTCTTCAGGTAAACAGTGGTCTCTGCTGCATATTAGAGGTGCTGGTAGTGCAGGCATCTGAACTCCATGGATGCTGGAGAATGCCAGGGTAAGGGCTAGTGGGAGTGAGCAGCTCAGCATCTGGAGGCAACTGTGCAGTGTGACTGCTGAGTTTCTGATCTGCATTTGCTGCCTGCACAGCTCATCAGCACTAGGCAGTTAATGCTGTCTGGGGCCACACGTCCTGTGTCTTCTCCCTCTCCCTCCTCTTCTTCCCCCCATGCTAAGGGCTTGTTTAGCAGAGATAGTCATCACACATCTTTAGTGTTTAAAGCTGTGCTAAGCTCTGCATTGTATCAAACAATTTTTTACTTTCTAAATGTCCATCTTAAGTACCTATGTAGTTCTTACTACCACAGTAACTTGAATGATTTCAAAGTACTTGCTTTTTGAGAAGGAAAAAAAAATCACAACTTTGTACCTGGGGAACTGAGACAGAATCAAACTCAATTCTCCTAATGCCCATATCCAAGCCATGGTATTGTCTTTGACAAGATGAGTTTGTTTTAGTTGGAGGGTATTTCTCCCTGCCCGGGTTTTGCTTCCAGTTTGTCACTTTGATTTCTGTTTGGACTTCCTATCTCCCTTTATTACTTTTGCAGATCTCTCAACCAGTTTGACAGGAGGAAGCTAGAGATTTTCTTTACCCTGCAGGCTAAACTAAATTCAACTAAATAAAGGCTTTTATAACATCTTTGAACTTTGCGTTGCCGTCCTTGTCCTGCCTCCCCCCCCGCCCCCCCCAGAAAAACTAAGCAAAATTATTCACAGCTGATAAATTGGGCTGGTCAACTGAGTAAACACTACATGTGCTAGCAACTGTGAGTTTTGTTTTCAATGCAGCAGAGAGATCAAGCAAATGAAGCTGCAGCTATTCAGACGATTTGTCTCATCAGGAAATAGAGGAGTCATTCGTTCAAAAAGACATTCAACTCCTATAGCAGCAGCTGGCTGCAGTGAAACAGGATCCGTTTTGGTTTTGCTCTGCAACTTGGCTATTCTGAGACATTATTGCCATGCACAGAGATTGGCTGACAAAGTGCTGCCAGAGGATGTAGGAAGCAGTGAGCTAATCATGCCAGCTTCAGGCTCACCATGTACACAGCTGTGATACCTGAGCTCCTTACTGAAAAGGTTTTAGTAGTGCCAAAAAGAATTCGGGATTCCTGCTTCCCTTCATAACAGCCATGATGTATGAAAACCATTTTCCCCCTAGGGCCACTAGGAATGTGCGAGGATGAGCCTGCCAAGAGCAACAGGGACCACCTGCTTCATCCACCCCGCTGTGCTCAGTGCAGCATCCCTCCTCTTCCCAGCACAGCATTTATCAGCCTCTTCTGCCACCAAGGTGTGATTAAAAAGGAGTCCTAAGGATTGCTACTCCTTGCAAACTAACCCCAAACCCAAAGAAGGATCTAAGAGACCTAAGGAAAAAATGGACACAGAATTGTTTTTTTTTCATTCAGTCAGAAACTATTTTCAGTTAAGCAACCAACCAACCCCCCAAAGAACAAAACCCTCACTCCGATCAGGGAGAGGTGCATGAAAGCCACTTCAAGAGCTGGACCTGTATTAAGCCCACATTTCTTCTTCAAGGCAACAGCTGTCACTTATGAATTTTATTTTAAAAAACAATTTCTTTTTATCCATTTACAGCTGAGATTGTCTGGTCAATATTTAACTATGGTACTCTTTTTGTGGTATCCCAGTGTATTGCTCCTCTAGGCAATCTATAGTCTTCTAGTTTCTTTAAAGGTGAAGTTTTATTTTCTCAGGGTAGGCTGCTTTTGCCACTGAAGCTAGTGGCAAAATTTCCTGAAAACTGAGATTGAACATCTTTCTATATAACTGTATAGCACCTTTGTGGATTAGACTTCTTTATGAAATACCACATTTGATAGACTTTTCTGATTTGCCCTCACATTTATTTTGTATTATCTATGCAAAACAGTATGATGGCGAAAATGTGGTAATCAAATTATTCTGGAAATATGCTTTCTCTTAAGGTATCACAACTATGGGTTGTATGTAAAAAAAAATTAACTTGCAAAAGAAAATCAAATACAGTAACTAGGCAGAATCAACCCATGCTTTTATTTCCATTGCATATAAAATTTCATATGAAGGTATTGATGTACAGTACTATCCCATAGGCTGTAAGAGAGGCTAAGAAACCAGTGAAAGAATAGTCATGTGCAATGTTCACACAAGTTGCCACTCTCAAGACATACCCAAAGGAAAATCAAATGGAAACAGTAACAAAAAATTGTTCAGGATTTCTGTTGTTATAGTGTCCCTTTTATACCGTTTAAAACAAAAGCAATTGATTTACTTTGGGCCAGGGCTGCTAAAATCTACAGTTTGTGTCAAAAAGGAGGCTCTGTTTTTCCTTGAAAAAGAATCTCTCCTTTCACAAAGAAGTCACATGCTACAAGGGCTGGGCATCGCTGGAATGGAGGAGTGGTATTTACCTCGCTCTGGCAAATTCATTGATATCAGCTCTAAGTAGTCTGGAGCAACATGACAAGTCAAACAGCAAGAGATGCTCAATCCAACCTGCAAACCTAATACTAGTGTTATTAAAAGATCTAAAGGTTTACCACTCTCCTGTAGACCTAGTGCATTATGCTATACACACCTGTACAAAGCCTTAGATACATCTATATAAAACAAAACTTTGGCTGCTTATAATACTAATATTGGTGTTGGAAAGCATTTCCACAATTAAAGTTGTCTCTTGTCCTACTTCATAGATTCTGCTTATACAGTGGTCATTTGTGCTACTAAATAAAGAAGGAATATTACAGATGATTTAGAACTATGAGTTACACCCTTTTAATTCCAATTATGCTATTTCCCAATATGCATTAAAATCAAATGATTAGAAATGCTTTCCAAAGCTGTTTCAGTGCAATTCACTACTGAAATACAGCATCTTTTTTTTTCTTTTTTTCCTTGTTTTTTTTTGTTTGTTTTTTGTTTTTTTTTTTTTAAGGAGCAAAAAATGGCTGCAGTAATCCCTGATGATAGCCTGTAAAAAGATAATCAGAGAGGCAATACAATTATATTGTCAGAAGTCTGGAAAAGCTTGAACTTCCAGTAGGGTCATGAATGAAAGCTCACTGTAGTATCATGTATATTAGCTCGTATGAGTAACCCCATCAGTTAGCAACTAAAAATATGGTAGAAATGCCCAGCCCTAGCCCCACAGCTACCTTACTTTCAAATGCAGCAAAACAGAAGAAAATATTGTTTAAAGTTAAGGCACAGCCCTGGGACCAAAGACCTGCAGCTTTTTTTATTGATATATCTTTATGTATTTTATACTTTTCATGAATCTTCCATAAACAAGCTCTAAGGTGACATAGAATATATTACAGGAGAAAAAATGTACAAGGAGTATGTATACACAATAATCATTCTCTCACCAAGAGTTTCCAAATATAGCAACACCACCCTGACAAGGATGATGTTAATAATAAGAACTGATAATTTACAATTAACATTACAGTATGTACATTACAATAAATACATGGTTGTAAACAGAGACAAACAAGACTGTATTACAGGTAAGGTCATTTGGTGAGAAAAATGCATGGCACAAATAAAATAAATAATGCATCTGAAAAGAACTGTCAAAGCTTTCTGTAAAATCCATGTCATTCAAGTTTTCTAAACTGTTGAATGCTATTTGTTCTATCTATATTCTTTTTGTTTTTTAATAATGACACAAAACAATATAAGAATTCAAATACAGCATTACTGAGTACAGTAACTTGCAAGCTAAAATGTACTGTTACAAGCAAAGTGAATTTTCTTTTTTTCCCCAACTCAATACCCACTCACTGCATCTTCTTATGGCAAAAATATTCAGAACACGTAAAGCCACTTGTAAATTGTATTGTTTTAAAGCAGTGTGAAATGCTAAAACACACTTTGGCAAAAGAGGAAAAAAAAGATTGTACAGTGCATTATATCCCCAACTCTAAGAAATGATACAATTTTCTATTATTTGATTGTCCACATGTATAGGTGTATCTCTCATATATGGTGTTATTCTTTTAATATACTTTCAATTAGTGCAGATACAAAACCTTTTCAGGTCCCTACTGGTTATTCTGGAATTTATATTGCTTTTCCATTGTTAAGGTTCCAGGCACTCTTGGGGACTGAAAGGATTTTTAGATGGATCAGGTTCAGGAAGAAATGATGAAGAACCAAAAAAAAAAAACAAAAAACCCAAACAAACAAACAAACAAAAAAGTCAAAAACTGACAAAATCCCCATGATGAAGAACAAAAAAAACCAGTAAAAAAATCCCCATGAGTTCTCTTCATTCTCTTTCCTCCTTCAGCATCTTCTGTGCTAAGGCCCTGTGAGGGCAAAAGGTAGACAAAACTATGACCTAGATACAGATGAATGCAAAATGCATTTAAAAGCTGTTTTTAAACAGGTTTTTATTCTAGATCTCAGACACTTAAACCCCCCCCCGTAGTCATATCTGCAAATTTACCAAACAAAAAAGCCATCATACTGAAGGAGTTTTATGTAACGTAACGGATATTCATGGAACTCACTAATACATAAAATAATACACTTTTAAAGCTCAATATTACCATGAGATTCTAAGGTGCAAAAATAAGAAGGAAAGGAAAAAACCCTAAAAGTATTATCCAGTGTAGCACAGATTTGTACTGAAAACTTGCAAGTTACTCTTTGAAAAAAAAATAACCAGTGGCAGATGAAGTCTGAAAGTGTTTTTCTTTAAATATAATACCTTGGTACATTTAATAATAAAAGTAAGCTCTACAAAAGATCTTGCTTTTACATATTATACAAAATGCAGAGGCTAGCGCAACCCACTGGGTCACACTTTTTTCAGTCATGTATCAGGAAGACTTGAAATTAGAAAATTACACAATTTCCACAGCTCATCTTCCTATTGGTAACAGAATCATGTTGTCCCATTATTTATGTGCATTTGTTTTCTAGCAGGAACCCAGTTTCTTTTCTGTCTGTTTCCTCTCATGATGGACATTATCCAATCCTTTGCTTGTGAAATACAATGAATTCAAAAACTATCAAAGCATACCAGCATTTGGTTGGCAGGTGGTACTCCTCTGAAAACATTTGCTTTATTTAATCAAATCTGCCAAATGGAGAGCTTATAAAAATGTAGTTTATGGATGTTCTCCTCCCTGCTTTCTGATGCCATGGAGGTGAAAATTCTGGTTACAATATTCCTGAGCGCCAAACTGAGTCATCAAAGTCAGTTTTGATCAACAAACGTCCTGGCAGATGACAGCGAGTTGTGACTATGGTTGTAGCATATGACATACACTTTGGAAACCATTACCTAATAAAACAAAACAAAACAAAAAAACAGAGAGAAAGAGGAAAAGAAAGGGAGAGGACAAGAGAGAAAAAGACTGCGTCTTCATTGTTATGTGTCAGGAGAATGGTCTTCTACCACACAAGGTTCTGTCTGGTTCTCCTCCTCTTCTACTTCTTCCCCTACTTGCTCATCAAGAGGAATTTCAGTGGATTCTGAATCCTGGGTGCAAAGAGTCTTGGAGTCACTGCAGCTGGTGTCTTCTTCTACTTGACTTCCACTGTCCTTTTCGGTGTCTGACTCACCGTCTTCCTCCAGTGTTAGTTCAAACTGGAATTTTTCAGTTTGGCCCTGCCTACCCTCTTCCTGGTCATCAGCTGCAGGAGAGGGACTTTGAGGGATTGTGCTCTGGTACCACTCTCGATTGTCCTCCAGTGTATCCAAGATATCCTGGGCATCTGGGTGAACAAGATCTGCCCATGTCTCCCACAGAGGATGAACAATGTAGTCTATAAAACCCACCTGTTTCAAATAATACAAAATTAGCATGAGCTCTTATTCACAAAGAAATAAACAACTATGCCTGTAAGTCATGCAAAGTATGACAAATATAATGCTAGTAAGAGACACTAGATGCACTACCTTTAAAGGTGGCTGAAAGGAAACCATGCTATTTTATGTAGTAAATAGGGTCTTTTACATCTCAAAAGTCTGATTCAGGATATTGGGTAAGGACAGGATTTGTTTTCAAATGAACTGTTCATTCCAAACAACTCCACTGCATCTAGTGAGCCAAACAGCTGCTTTATATTTAATTCTGCTTTTAAAGGAAACCCTAATGAGCAGCTGTACAATAAACTCTTTTGACATGTATGCTTCATTGCAGATTATGACAGCGATAGAATCCCTTCAGCAAACATGCTGCCATGCACTGTTTTCACAGTAAACATCTCAGCTACCCTCACTTACTACTCAGGAGCTGAATTAATTAACTAGGACAAAAAAAAAGGAAATAGTGCATTCAGAAATTAATCAAAACATGGCTACGGACCATCCTTTTCTGTTAAAATGTCATACTGTGTATTTAACTGCCTACTCAAATCAATTACCTGTGATTTTTCTACAGATGCATTGTGCTTATCACACATGGGACTTATCTCCATTCCCCTCTCTCTTTCCCGATCTCCCTGACGGAAAAATTCCTCCATTATTCTGTCTGTCCATTGGCGGTAGAGATGGAGTGGTTTGGTTGGATTGCTTAGATCTGCACAGTGCACCATATTCTGGAGAACCTAAAAGAGATTGAACACCCGCGGTGTTATTACACTGGAGAAAACCATTCCTTTTCCATTTACACTTTTGGTGGCTGTGAAACAGAATCTTGAAAATAAATGTAGTGCAAGATTTATTCTAAACAGCAAAAATTTATGTGCTTGGGTGTTTTTCACACTTGCAGTAACAGCCACGAATTACCTCACTTCTGCTGCTTCTGCCTGTATAAGGGACAGAAAATCTTTAAGAGAAAGACCAATTAACATGCTGATAAATTTGAAGAGAAGGCCAAAGCCTCATTTAGTCCAGAAGTACTCAAACACCTCGTTAGTCTCTCAGAGAGCCACTCAGTACCTAACAGTATGTCACGGGTAGGAAACTTAAGAGGGAGTAGAGGGAAGGTAGTGAGTCATGGTGTGAGAATGGACAGCAGATCTAACCCATGCTGGAGAATGGGCAGGCCAATGTTAGTAAGGATGGAAGTTAATACAAGTAATCATTTGCAGATGAATTTTCTTACCTGAATCCTGTCTGAATAGTTATCAAGAAGTAGGACACCAGAACTGGTCACTTTTTTGGTTTCAACCATAGTTTTTAAATCAGCCAGTAGATTCATATGCTTAGACATGTCTGTTGCAAGTACCTTGAAAGAAACAAACAAATAAATGAATATTATGTAAATTATTCTACTGACTTCTAAAACCATCTTTGAACACATAAACAAACAGTCCTGGGGAGAACCCATAACTCCTGTGTCTGAATAAACTATAAAAGTCTGAGTCCTGTATGTCATTAGTGTCCAAAGTAGTAAGTTTTCATTTTAGAAATTGCTTAGAATAGTTTAGAATAGTTTAAGAATACAACAAAATGATTGTTCAGAATTGTTCAGAATGATCTGATCAGCCTAAATTCATCATCAACTCAGTAGCAAATTTCTAAAAGTGATGGTGAAATGGCATGTCAGTATGAAAACAGCTTGAAGCAGGACTGTGTACCGTCTAAAAAGGTATAGACGGTTACTGAAACTGAGAAGAACCCACTATTTGTGTTGGGTAAGACATGATAAAACTTCAGAGTTTTACTTCATTGGTTATGGGTCTATTGACATGCAATTTATCATAAAATGCTTCTGTGCTTTATTATTCAATTTGCTAGCACTATCGAAAAGGGACTTTCAAGCAGAACTCACAATGTCAATGACCATTTTCCTCAATGATTGCCTCTGTTTTTTTGTCAAATTCTGGAAAATGTCACAATTTTCTTCCTGCAGCAGCTTGAACCCCACAGCTAAGTGATGATTCTCCAGTACTGATGAGTCATTGTACATCAAGGCAAGTTCAGAATCTGCAATAACAATCACAGGGGAAAACGTTACTAAAGCCTGTGCTTCTACCAAATCCTTTAAGATTTTTCAAATTAATTACTTTCATAACAAGATTTACAGATGAACTTTTAGAAGCAGAGTTCCTGTAGTTCACACAGTATCAAAAGTTACAGAAATAATGACTGAACATCTTAACAAATCAAGGCAAAGTATGTTGAGGAAAAGAAAGAAAACACTTTGCAATGAAGCATGTACACGTGCCTGGAGTGGCAAGTTAGAAAAAATACAAGGAAGGCATTTTTCAGAACACATTTTCATATCTGCCTGAGGTCACATGGAAAATATTATATGCATAAACACACCTCAACTAAAACACACTGTGATGTTTTCTCTTCGCATGCCTCCCTCCCATCACAACTACTAGAATATCATTGTTTAAGTCAAGCTGCAGTTATCCAGCACTCAGACCGGGAATACAAAGCTGTGGCTTTGCTGCAGGTCAGATAGAGAGCACACATCTTGGTTTTCAAACCATGTCCTTCTGCAGTTAGCTAAGGCACTCAGATGCCTAGTCACTTAGGCCTACGGGTCATTGGTCCATGCCAATCAGGTATTTTGAGAGGAGGCTGGTAGGATGGTAACAGTTAAGCTTCTGGTCTTTTTCTTGGAAAGTCATGTGGCTTGAAAATGTAAGCAGTGGCCTCGCCTACTGCCTTGTACTTGAGTGTGGTCAATGCCTGATGCCGTAATGCTGCCTTCTTCAACAGATGCATTCTTAATTCAGTCACTCCATACAGCTGTGAGAATAAGAAAAACCTTCCTAGCAATGCCTGTGCTAAGGCACACACACACAAGTTGCTGAACAGCCAGCTCTGACAAATAAAAACAGTTATGACAATTTTCTGCACAACTTTAGATTCTACTTGGGGATACCACACAGTCAGCTTGCGTATATTTTAAGATACAGCTTGCAAATGAATCTGTCATAAAAAACAAGTACTTTTTATGCACTCACACTTGTCATGTGTGATACTAACTTCTATTCATTACAGCTGTTCTACCCTAAATCTAACCAGACGTCCGTCTATTCTACTCTTTGTCCTCTTTATCTTCTTTTACAGAAGCTTTATTTTAAAATCCCTCTGGCTCAGTGGGGTGCCTATAGAAGCTCTGCTCTTCAGACTTCATTAGTCTCATTATCCATTATCCTGCCATCTTCCTCTCCTGTCTTGAATACATCGATCTTTTGAATCAGGAAACCCTTCCTCTACCTTTTCTTACCCCGATGGCAGCAAAACCGTAATAGCAAAAGGAAAAAGAAGGTTGAGTTTGTCAAATGATCTCTGTTTCATCTTTCACAGAACATTTACAAAGCTTGCCTATTTATTTTTCTTACTAAGAAGACAGGCACTAGTTAGTTCTCCTTTCAAACAGCATTCTGATGAGCCCCAACCGCAAAACACTCAACATCACCAAAACCCTTTGGAAGGGCTGGAGCTACAGACAGAGCTAAAATGTGCTCAACTTTGTAACGGAGGTGGAAATGCAAGAAAGTTCCCCCTTGGTAATCTTTGCAACACATTATAAGATTCAAGAGTATTTGTGTGGAAGGACAGAGTTACAGTGATCAAATAAGCATCTCCTCTGATGCTAATACAATCTGTATTTATTTGTTCTTTAATAGCATTCAAGGGGGATCAGATTTTCAGACAACTGTGTAAATAGACTTTAAATCCTTAAATAGGGAAATAATATTCAGAAATACCACATCGGAGCGGTTATAAAGAATAAGCTGAAATATGGCAAATATGTACATAGTTTAAGTAACTAAGTTTACTATGCTTTTTAACAATGTATTCTTATACTTCTTAGTGAAATATTAATCATTGTAAGGTTCACTGGAAAACAAAACTAGGTGGAAGCAAATGGTGTTCTTGGGATTAGGAAAATCTAGGATTTGAGAGTCCTAAATTAGATGGTCTCTATCTCTGTCTGTCCTTACAGTTTCTTCTTTGTACACAAAACAACTCAAAAGGAATAAAATCCCTTTGTCTCTTCCAGCTTGGCAACAGCAGTTGCAATTAGTGATGTTAACTTGATTGACATGGAAGCCTTCTCTGTCAAAAGCTGAACTGAGAAAAACAAGACTTTTCTTCTAAGCTGCAGCAACAGAATAACTCTGTGCAAGCTTTATGTATCGTATCTCTATACTGGTCCCTTCAACTAGCCAGTCATCCTGCTTAAACCTGAAAAACTCAAGTGGTTTCCCTGTAGCACCTCAGAGCCACCAATATATCCTGATAATTTCTGATTAAACAAACATAAAAACTTTACTTATATGTATATGCCCACTCTTAAGAATTTAGGTACTACACAGTTTTGTGCACACAGCTTGATTCACTCTCTTCCTATACCACGTTGCTGAACTGTATTGGTTACCAATAAAGCACCAGAAATCTCGAGTCAATCAGAATCCTCCTCCTTGCAGATGAATCATCAAATTGAATTTCACTACAAGGCAGCTCTCAGGCAAATAAAATTAGATGCAGGCTAAACTGGAGTGGAGGTCTTATCTGAATGTATAGCAGCAATGAGTCAGAAGAGGAGCTCCCTTCAAACTAGACTGCTGATTTGGGGTCATACTATTTTAGCACCAGTGCAATAGATTCACCCAAGTGCAGGAATGACAGTATCTATAAATGTGTAATCAGATGGGTCAAATACACAACCCTAGGTATGTTTCAATTTCTATAGCTTGTTCTTCTTCTGGGCTTGCATTATTAGTTCAATAATTAGTTCAACTTCTGTACTTCTGGATCAGTTATCGTAAAAGAAGTTGTCAGATGGCAAAAGAAATAACATCATATGATGGAACTTGCACTGACCTAAAATGTGCTACTCACTTATAATAGTAACATATGCCACTGAAATCAAAGCAGGTTATATCGGGGCAACAAGACATTCAGTAAATGTGTCATGATAGGTTCAATGAAGTTAACAGTGTTTTTCTTCCAGTAGAAGATTAAAGAGGGAAGAGAGGTTCATGCAATGCTGCAGAGAACAGCCTTGAGAAATGCAGAACAAGTACACTGGGTTTCAAATTTGGAGATGACATTAGGGTCTCATTTCATTAGGGCTTTTTCCTCCACATAGGGAGTGCCAGCAAGAGACCCACCAAAATTAACAAAAAAAAAAAAAAAAAAAGTTTGCCATAGCCTGCAGGGACAGGCTGAGAAAATTCAGTCCAAGAGACGTGAGTATGCAGAGATCAGAAACCACATACAGCAGCCAGGGAGAGACAGAGATGGGCCTGTCAGTCTGTTTGCTAAAAAGAAACTTGTTTTCTAAATTTCTTAAAAATTTATGGCTATCCTTAGTCATATCATATGCTTCCAGTATAAACCCATAAACTGTTGTCTTCCTTTTTTTGATTTTTATTTAATCTTCCTTCATTTTTCTCCTACAACTTTATTTAGTTAATGTAAACCAACTAATGTGCAGGAGAGACCACATCCAATACATTGAAACATTGCCAGGATTATAGTTCATGTCTTCATAATTCTTGCTAGAGGGTGCTAGGTATATTATTTCTAGAGTTACAGGAAATGCAAAGTAATACCCGGTATCTATTTACTGAGAAAAGGCACAGATAGAAGCAAACAGGGAATGAACTGTGTATTTTTCAGGTGCTATGTGCAGATCTTGCAGCAAATTTTTGAGAAAACCACTGAACATCAAACTTACTTGTGTTGATAAGAAACTGGTTTGAAACCCCAGGATGATCTACATCATGTATTGCACTGGCAAAAATTGCTGCAAGAATCTCCAAATCAGTGAACACTGCCTAGAAAATCATGAAACAGAAATGACAATCACTAATCAATGAAAAAGTGTTTTCAATAAAAAGGACTCTACTTTGAATCTAGATCTGAACGAGGAAAACACATTTGAAATGTATCAGGGATCTCAAGAGATTTTACACATAGGGTATCACAACCTTTTGTAAAATTGTCAATTATGTAAAATTTCATAAATATTTCAAGTTTGGCCGAAGTAAAACAATCCTTACTTCACGCTGACAGCGCCACTAAATTCTGTAACAACTGAACTTTTTCCAGCTTCAGTCTGTAAATAAATCCACTTTCATTAGATCATCAAGTACAAGTTACATCATTAAGTACAGGTTTCTAACCTATAGCACAAATTGAAGTTATAAGTTTCAGCCTGACTCCTACGTACTGTCCTATACTTGAAAGATGCATATCTCCTAAATGATGCTAAAGGAAATGGTGCCAGACTATAAGGCATCTTACTTAACATTTACTGATTTTTCTTCCGTGTAAGATTATTAGGAAGATAAGAAGAAAGGACTGCAATAGACCTGGCATGTCACTGAGCCCAGGCCCCTGCTGTCACAAGCACCCACATTATATTATTGCTTTCATAACTGATCAAGAACAGCTCAGAAGTGTGTAGGTCAGCAATGGCACTGGGCAGACATTGCTATTTTACTGGCTAAAGCTCTGCTGAGAACAAGGCCACGAAAAACAGTTGATCTGGAAAAAAACCTGAAAATGCTACTGACAACCAGTTCAACTGTTTGGTGAAGCCAGTGGTGATTTACGAACATAATCTGATCCTCCTTCTTGAGATAAAGAAAATCTTTCCCAAGAGAATTCTTGAGTCTTTGAGGATTGAAACCTGCCAACAGTCTTAAGGTTCACTTATAACCCTCTTGTTAAGAAGGTAAAGCAGAAGCATTCAGTAACATGGAAGATTGGTCATTATAAAAAAAGAGTCAAAATGCAGCCCTCCTTGAAAATGAGGGAAAATCCTTTTGAACTACTAAAATTTCAACTGCTTGCTTTATCTGCCTTTTTCCAAGAATTTACTGGGATATAATGTTTGCTATGCTAAGACCTGAATTGTGCTTAAGAAAGGGAAAGTAATCTCCATCTTTCTTCCACTTCCTTCTACTTCAGAGATTTAAGCACTTGCAAAAGAGAATTCTTCAGAAAAGAACATGTTATTTTTTTCCTAAACAATTTTGAAATATTTATGAAAAAAAAAAGATACAGTCCAGCAAAAATTTAGTACATGTTCCACTCTGTCTGAGAAACAAACACAGAAGTAGCCTGTCAGGACCAGAATGAATATACACAAGGGAAAAAACAAAAAACAAATGGCCCTATTGAGGGAATCCCATTTTATCACTATCTTTCCTAAGCAATTCCACTAACTGTGGTTAGTGAGAATCCCATATGGGAAATAATGACAGAACAGGATGTAGTATTAATAATGGGATGGTGGGAACAAGTTATGCACTGTGTTACAATGAAAAAGGTTATGACAGCACAAATCTGCAAGTATAAAACGATGATTTAAAAGAAAAAGCTGTGACATTTTCTGCACAATATTTACATGTAAATAAACTTTGGTCTTCACAAAATATCTTTAAAAGAGCACAACTCGTGAAAGAAATGTTAAGATTTCCTTTAAAAATACTGCAGAAGCTAAGATCTTTAATATTTAGTTTAGAAGAGTCTTAGTATGTCCCTTTCTCTCATGCCTGCCTCTTTCCCACCTCAGTGTAGTTTACCTCTAATGCCGGGGTTGATAGCAGGACATGAGTTGACTGAACAACATCTGCAGCATGTATGTTATTGTGATATGCCACATCTGCATGGTAATGGTCTTCTAGGGTCATCAAGTAAGTTATTAAAGTGTCTACTGGAATCTTAAATGTTTTTAACAAGTCCCGTTCCTAGAAAAGGAAAAAAGAAACAATTAAGATTACAAAGCACAGAAAAATCTCTAAGATAAGCAAAAAGCAGCACCGCTGCTGCTACTTGCCTGAAAAATGGTGTGCATGATGACTGTCAAAGGTCTGTTTCCAGACAACTCTGCTACTCTGAAAACCTGAAGGCCCCATTTGTTCACATCTTCTAGTTCCTAGAGCAGAATCAAGCAAGACATGTTGAAACCTAACACACAAATTCCAGCGATTTTTTGTTGAAACAGCTACAAAGAGCAGACTCATGAAGATTCAAACCTTGCCGCTGTGAAAATTGTATGCTGAACTCCGAAAAGGGGAAAGCTAGTGCTACTAATCTTGTAATATTTGAACTTGCAGCTCCCACTTTCAGATTTTAATTCCCTACGCAGGAAAGAGTGCCTCTTAAGTGGATTGCTCCAGAGGGATAAATGCTACAGTATCTTGAATGAGCTGAACTGGCACACTTTTCTATCTCACTGCCCAGTGACAGCAGAGTTCAGCAAGGAAGAAACCTCCAGAGATGCTGTGGTTCTGCTGCTGTTTCCCTGCTTCTCAGAAACACTCTTCAAATAAAGGGGGAGATTCCTGAAAATGTAATGATAAGCATATTTCAAAATGCAAAACTCTAAAATTAAATGAATAATCACTTTATGCCAGTTTTAGATTATTGCCAACTAGTTAGTTGCTGGTGCAAAAATCACAGGAAATGTCACTAAAAACGAAACCACAAATGATTGATGTAAAATGATACAGCTAAAGACAGGACCTGGAAGGATAGCTCTAATGCTATATACCAGTTGTGCATTTTCAAAAAACATAGGGCTGCTATATATTTTCATTCCTGTGACAGTATATGGTATGCTTACTCTTCATTCCTCAGGTATTATTTATGAATAAGCAGCTTTATTAATACATACATAAATGTTAATTTACATTCCATCTCCAGATGAAATCCTGTTCATGTGGAAATTAACCCTTATGACCTGATTCTGATTTTACTTGTTATTCTTCCACTTCACCAAATTTATACTGTTTCAAGTGAGACCAGCCTTTGGTGCTACAGCTTGAAATCAGTGGTTATAAGCAGAGGATGGAATAATACTGACAAGTCCACCCTCTACTTTAATTCAATGATTTGAATTCAAGGATTTATATATTCTCTACCTTGGCAAGAACATCTTCTTGGTCTGTTTTAACTCCAAATCTGGGAATACTGGAATTAGTTAGGCTGGAGCTGTGCATCAGTTTTTTGACTCCACTGATCTGGGACATCGGCCTCTTCTTTTTCTCTTTCTCTTTCTGTGTCGGAGAAGGGATTTCAACTTCATGTTGTTTGTCTTCAAAAGAATGAAGAAAAAGAGAATAATTTTTAAAGGAATTACAAATATTTTTGTCCATTTCACTGTTGAGTTGCATTTTATAGATACTGTAATTCTTAACAAAACTTTTAATTTTTGTGTTTGGAGATATTGCAACAGATACTTCATATCAAGAGCAGTAGAAACATGAAAAGATAAAACACAGACCTATACCTCTGTATAAGCAGATCTGTATTTCACAAACTGCCTCATCATTTCTGAGCTGCCTTTAAATGTGACTTGTGACTGTCTGATTTCCACTTCTGCACACCTAGTGCTGTAGAGAGGGTCAATCCTTTCCTTCTAAAACTGCTATTACAATTGAACAGAAATCTAAACTTTAATTCTGCAAGAAAATCTAAAATTTCTTCTTTTCCATGAAAAACACTCTCTGAAATTGTATTTCAAAACCAATCAAAACAGTATCTCATGTAAACCTTTACAAAACATTTTCAGGACTCAAAGGACCTAATACCTGTGCACTGGTCCTGTTTGTGTTAAGACTGTACAATTCAGAAAGCCTTTTGCCAGCCACGTCTACAAGCGCTTTGGATGTAGAGGCAGCTCATGCCAGCAATGCAGTGCATTTCTGCACCCCTCAGCCAGAGCAAGTAATACTGACAAAAGGACTGTTTTGCTAAAACCCAACATTTTGCTGTGGGCTTTTGCCTCCATAGCAGCATCAGCAGCATCACTTCATATACCTCATCAATGTATGTGCCAGAAAAAACTTTATATTAAGTATATTAAACTGAGAGTAAAAGTATATTTAGGCCATTGCCAGCTGATCACTGCAGAAACAGTATGGGGGTGTGGAGCACTGCAGACGCCCATGGTCCCCAAAGAAACCTAAGTTAGTGTAACAAAGGACTCTCCCGCCAAACCTGCTAAATTTGCATTAATTTTTGTTCTTTTTATTCATACTATATTTCAACACAGAGTTTTAATTACTCCCTCCAAATTATATCCTCTTTGCTGAAATGTACCTGCACCTTTTCTAGTCCTCAAGGAATATTCCAGCAAAACCAGGAAAATCCAGAACAGATGTTTCTAACATAGGAGCCTAGCAAAAACTACGATTTAAAAAACACCTTAGAACAAAAGAAAATTAAAAAAATGAAAAGAAAATTTGTGCTCTTTAAAACATCTCTCTATTTTTCCCTTTCTGCAGTGGTCACTTTCAATAAAGACACTGACATCAGACAAGGGTAGCAAGTCCATTTCTAATTCCCAGATTGTTATTGTGTTTGCTTCTTCACTTTCTTTCTTATTTCCATTTTTTTTTTTTTTAATTACCCTCTAGCAGCCGCATTTAATGGACACCTCAAATTCCAAACAAATCACGGCAAAGAAGAGACTGCAGAAATGTCACCAAGCTTTAGCCTGTGGCATGGAGCTCCGTGATTGCCCCCGCCATACTTCACCACTCTCCTCATATGGACAATCAAAAAAAGGGGGAGGTGCAGCACCGCAGCTCTTGACTGGTACAAACTGGCAACAGATGAGGAGCAGTGACTCGTGTTCGTGCTTTGATGTTTACGGTTTTGGTCATATGCACAAAGTTTAGACTCATCAGAGGGAGGTTCATAAGCCAAGCTGTCAGACTAACTCAAGTGAAAGGAAGCGTCTGTCTGAACGACTTTAGATCTCCGGAGGAATTCCAGTAGACCACCTCTGCTTTTGTAACTACAAGCACACAGGGCAAAGGATCCTGTGCCCATCTGAACATCCAGAAAAGACAGTTTGCCATTTTGACCCTGGTTGTGCTATGCTCATTGGCAGGTTCTCTTACATTTTATGTTCATAGGAAAACAGGTTAATGAAAAATAAAATATCACTTTGCATATTATTATACTCAATGTAGGAACCTTAATTCTTACACAAGGAATATATTTGTTGTCATTATGAATAACTTCATACATGTCATATAGCCCTACTTGGGAAAACAGTCTGTTTTTTTTGAAGAACAAGAAGAACAGGAAAATCTGTCTTCTCATTACACATTCTTAACTTTCAAGTGTGAAAAAAAATCTATAGATGTTCAGAAGATAGATCATGTATTAAAAAAATTAACTAACTAGATTCGTTAAAATTTTCTATGGAGAGAATATTTTCCCTCTTCACATTGTTGCTCAGAACCTATACACTTAGACTATGTATTTTGAAAATACTGTATTTAACCAATAATTCTGTAGATGAGGTATTTTCCCCATCATATTCCTCCTGTACCTACAATTTTAAGTATCCTAGGTTTTCATGCGGCCACAGAACAATATCTGTGCCTCAGTAACTTCGAAGTGGTTGCCCTTCCAGCCCTCTTTCTGCTCAAGACTGAGGTCTCATGCGAAAGGCTGACATGCATTTCCTTACCCTGTCAAAATGAGCCTTAAGTTTTCAAGTAAAAGCAAGAAGAAACTGGTATCTCAGTTTTTTCAGCCAAAGTGGGTCATGTTCTCCGGCAACTATACACTGTGACTTTCAGGGCTCCTGAAGCTCTGCAATATTGCTTCTCCATGACAGAGGCTCATTCCTTTCTTACTGTCTGAAACCCTGCTGTGCCACAGCACTCAGGCATGCTACTGCAATCATGGGTAAACTGAACAGACATACTAAGCGATCCATTTAGGATATGGTGACAAGCAGGATATAACGTACTTAAAAAAACCCCGCTTCTTTCAAATAACACAAAAAGCACCAGCTATGGTATCTCACACAAATAAAACAAGATGTATCTTAACACGACTGGCGCTTTTTAAAGTACTTGTTATCCTAATTTAGACATACTCAGCTGTGCCTCACCTACACGCAGTCTTTATGAACCAATGGTGTTTTGCTCAAAACATGTTTGAGATTGGTATATTATCCATCTTCATCTTCACGTTCAAAATCAACAGTATGGAACCAAGTTTTATTAATTTTCACCAGTTTTAGCAAAAAAAAAAAATACACTTAGTTCTGCAAAGCCATAGAGGAGGAACCATACTCTTTGTAATATTGTGTTGGGCTTTTTTTAATGCTCACATCCCACCATGCACGCTCTTGAGTTGCACAAATTCTCCTGGAAGCAGTCTGTTCAGATGTTGACTTAGTCATAGTCATCCACCCGCTCATATGCAGGCAGGGAATACCAAAGGATCAGAACCGTGCGCTACAAGATTTTATGAGGTTACTTATGCTTCCAGGACACTGAAACCTCTTCGCAGTAACTTTCATAAGGGAAACAGAGTAGAATAATTCTTTTTAATGTATAATTAGTTCATTAGATAGTCATTCCTTATAATATGGTAGCAATACAGTAGTTGTAATGTTACATGAAAATAGGTATATGACTATTTATCTGTAATTACACATACAGGGAAACCACATACGGAAAATAAATGAGCTGCGAGGAAATGGATCTAACATGATCTCTCTGCTCACACACTGAGCAATGAGATACTGAATGTATAGTTTCTGAAAACAGAACTTAATATATGGAAAGCTACTTGCTTTTAAGCTCTATCACAGCCCAGAGAGAGATTAAAAAAAAAGGCAACGTTAATTCACATCATAGTCTTACCTAAGAATGTGTTTGATATATATTCCGAGACCTGATTGCCTGACCTGCTCATTTCAGATAGGTGGGTTAGCTCCCGGTTGAGCATTCTTTTAAACTGGAAAACAAAACAAAAAAGTGTAAAGTTAGCAATCAAGATGTATTTTAATTAGGATGAGAAAATGCAATCAATTTATTAATTGGGGAAAGAACATGACATTAAAAATGTATAAGATAACTATGATAAACTAAACTAAGATAACTATGAAAGCAAAGATCATATGTAACATCACTCTACCCTACTAACTTATTTGTGGGTTGGACGACATCATTCTTAACCTCCTAAAAGACTTCAAAGTGATTCAATTACTTAGGCACCGGGTCCTACTAGTAACCGAAAACTATTATAAGACATATGTATACACACAGATAATTAATATTACTGTCTTTTCAACTTTTTAATTTTAATTTGGAGAGGAAATACAAATGTATTTACATAGGACCCTTTCTCTACTAGGGTTTTCTTACCATATTTGTAAATCAATCTATTTGTGTAATTTTTGCAATTGATTTTGTAATATTTCAGGTTTATCTTACCTCTCATCATTAATCTACCCAAAGATATTTTACAACACTGCTCAAAACAATCAAAATATCTTACTGATTTTCTACACACCAATATGAATAGAGGTAGGTTTTATTGTCTTTGACTTAAAATTATCATACTGGATCAGCCCAATGACTTGACCACTTCAGAGTCTCAGAAAATTGTTAGTATCTGTATCAAATACTGCAGCAGAAAATACCCATCTGTAAAACACCTGCCTTTTCCCTCTAAGTTAGCTATTCACTCTAGACAGTCTGTAAGATAGAAGCGGATATTAACATTCCATGAAATGTGTAATTGATTAGGTACTCATCATCGAGCCTTTCTTGATTCCTTAGAGACTCCAGGGTTAAATGATATCTTGGGGCACTGCGTTCAACAAGGTAATTGCATAATATGGCTCTAGCTATCTTACATGCATTTTCATTGACTATAGCTCTGCCCTGATATTAGCAACAAATAGAACTCAGCAATATTTATTAGCAATTCAAACAACTCTTGCCAATGTTAATTAGCACCCATCTCACTACTAACTTTTGCCTCCCATTGTGCCATCCTTTAATTTTGTTGTTAGATTTCTCAGTAATCTTTTTTCTTAACAAAGCCAAATGATTTGTGCCACTTTCACCTTATTCACCCAGTTATGACTATTTATTACATCAAGCAATAGCTATCCTTAGTATATGTCCCCATAAACATTCCTCTATGTTCAAAACTGGTAATTTATTATTCTATACCAGATAAGGCACTAGACTAAACATTAACCACCTCCTTTCCATCCCACTGGAATCATCAAAGTCCTTTCTTCAAAGAGGCCTTGCATAGTGGAAGGTGTTATTTCTTCACAATGTCTTTGTAAGTCACCAATTACTGTATTGTTCACAGTGTGCCAAATAAAATTACCTTTAATGTAACATTCTAACCATTAGCCGCTGCATTTTCCTGCCATCTTGACATGTCATGAGCTCAGGAAGTTCCTGCTACAAGGACTGAATCCTACTTCAGTCACAAGCCAAAGGCTCAGCTTTGATCTTGGATATAGCTGTGTGCTAGCAAGTGCTCAACACATTTCTGAAAATTAGAACCATACTGCAGTTACACATACTATGAACTACAGGGCTATACATTCTGCACGAAACAACTATCAATCTCTATAGTGAGGTCTGATGTTTGTCACCAATGTTAAATGTTAAAAAAAACAAGTCAAGCTTGCCCAGCAGTGAAGTGACTGGTCCAAAAATACCAGAAGTATTTTTAAAAGCCTTTCTTTAAACTTTTAACACACAAACACTTAAGTCACACTTGCATGCTTTTTCTTCTGTACCCACGAAGGTGAGAAACTAATTATTTAAGGCAAAAATAGAAGATCTCATAGAATGGCTTGTCTCCAGATGGTATCCAGAAACTGCAGCTTTGAATTAAATAGTGTGTATGGGAATCTTAATAAAATGGATGAAGTTGACAAAATTGCATTAACTTTCAGGCCTGTCATCAGCATATCAGTATATTCTCTCTTCCTTAGTTTAATCCAGCTAGTTCACCACATCCCAACTAAATAGGTCCTTGTCTGTCTGGTTGTTTCCTAGAAACAACCAAGCCGTTTTAGATGATGCCCAACTTTGCGATGCTGTTTTTGCTGCAGAACAACACTACTGGGTCATGTTCTGCACTTTGGAAAAAGACCATCTAGCTACTGCTGGTATATACTCTTCAGGAACTCTCCTTACAAATATCCCAGCTTTGAAAGGAAAACAAATGCACGTTTGTTTGTGCCATGCTTTTTCTGCAGCTACCTGACACAGGACTTCTCCCTGCCCAGCCCCCACCAATCATAACTTCACATGCATGGAGTAGGTAGGGAAAAGGTTTGTTACTGCATACTGGGAATCATCTTGTGGAACTTATGGAGTGTATGTTAAGAATTTCCAACTAAATGTGTATTGTATGGATGTCCACAACAAATGGAAGGTGCATGGCAATCTTTTCTAATGCTATGTTCCCCACCAGTCTGATGCAAACCTTTGACTTCCCACCTCCCATAAGTAACCAGAACATAAAAGCTGAAGTGTCAGCATGAAACCTGTAGAACAGTCTGTGTTGCTGCAGACCATGGGTGTACAGTAAACCAAGTCCCTCAGCTTCTGCAAGGCCCTCCTGCTAACTGTGAATTCAATAGACAAGCCTTTGGCTTTGAAGAACTGTAGCAGCATTATTTTCTCATACTTTTTCACATGTTGCTGACACCACAGCAACAAGACTTCAATTGGCATTTATTTTGAAAACATCTGGACTAGGCAGTTTCAAGAACTGTTTTGATTTTCTAACTATATGGCAAAGCCTTATAACTGTCACCTACATTGAAACAGATCAAGTTGGAGACCATAGGCAGACAGCAGTTTCTGAAGAACAACAATAATGCTCATTGAGAACATAAAAAACCCCGAGAGATGAACACTGATCAAGATGTTCAGACATTTTTGTTGATTATACCCTGTTTCAGTGTATCTGTATGTTACTTAATTCTCTGATGTTTAATAACTTGTCCTTTTGGGAAAAAACATCTTTTTTCTAAAAACAAAACCAACCCAAAACATCCCAAAGCCCCTACTTTGTCCTGATTTTACCTGTTCCTCAAAGATCTCATTTGGGCCTAAGCGCACCCATAGGTAGTTGCTGCTTCAAAGACCATCAACTTTCCACGTATTTATACATCCCTGCACTATTACTTTATAATGAAACTCTTAACTCTCACGTGGGTCCAACAAGATCTTCTTGCAAATCAGAGTCAACACTGTTTCAGTCATCCAGCAGATGCCTCTTAAGTGCTTGAAACTTGGCTAGACTGTCCATACTCTCATCATTTGTCCTCTCAGAAATAACATCTAGCACTTTATTCAAAACAAGTCAAACAAGACATGAAACTACCTTGTCACTAATAGTAAATGTAAAAGATCATATTTAAAATAAGAATTCTAAAAAGCTGAATGCCATATACTTTCCTAGTTGAAGAAAATCAATTGTAACACATTAACTCTTGTTACTAATAAACATTTACAGCATACACTTTAATTATGATACTGTCAGCTCAGCATGGGGAGGAAGCAGAGGTTTTTGGCTGATCTATGCATATACTGTATTCTTCCTCAGAAAGAAAGGTTTTCCTGTGTTAAGACTAGACATTTTTAGATTGGAAAAATGACACGTATATAGCCCTTTGGAATATCACAGCCCTTGACTATAGTCTAGGAAATTCCCCCTGGAAATGGACAGGCTATAAAATGTCCATTAAGCCAATTATACAGTTCTCTACTGCCGAATAATGATGTCACAGCAACAGAGCAGTAAAGTACTGTCTGAAAAAAAAATCCTAAAAATACTTCCTTAGGCAGAATTTTTAAATTTCATTTGTTTCTACTGATTTTAATGTTCTTATTTTACTCTCAGCATGGGG